GTAAAGGAGGGTGAAGCACAGCGCGCCACGTGGCATCCCTGTTTTTTTTTGTTTTTTTTTTTTTTCAAGTTCGATCGTGTCGGCGACGAGCTGCCCCACCCACTGCCCGCGAACCCACGGCCTTCCGATTTCAATCGCCCTACATGGAACACGACGGTGGCTGGAGCAGCAGGGCGGATTTGTGTTATATGAAAAAAGAGGAATTTCAAATTAAAAAAAAAAAAACATCAAACACACGATCTTCCCCATACACAACTACGGCGGCCAGAAACGTGAGAGCAGCAGGCATCAACTCCAGATGCGGACACACGGCGGACCTCTATACGAAAGTCCCGCAGATCGTCCAAGCTACATCCGATGCTAAGGAGATTCATCGCCCGCCCATTCCCCCCTTCGGGTTCCTTGCCTCCGACCTGCCAAAACCCCGACCAGTTGCGAGAGCACGTCATTTGATCCCACCATTGCATCAGCGACAGCACCAATCTTCCCTGCCATCTCCCCTATCCGTACACCGACTATCTCCGCACCCTTCGTGCTTGCCTTGGCCAAAGTCAATGCAGCTTGCTGCAGTCCATCACAGTATGCGCGCGTCGACTCCTCCATTGCCTTCGATACTAATGAGCTGGATTCATCGTCCCCATTTCCCCTGACCTTGCCGGATCCTGTCCTCCTTGTCTTCGTGCCACCATCAGAACCATCAGACGGATCTCGAACGTTCCTCTTCCCACCAATCGCCCCTGCACTCCCTTCACCACCCCCGTTCCTCCCGGATGCCACGTCATCCGCGGAAGACTGCATGTTGTCAGAAGCCAGTGTATTGTTGCAGGTCATGGACGGTCTATTCATGTGCCAAGCCATTGCATCCCAAAGAGCTCTGTCGAAAGAAGGGTGGACACCCAGTTCCCTTCGCTTCTCCGTGGTGAGATCCCAATATGTCTGCTTGCCCGATCTGTCGCACTTGTCCGCGATCTCCTTCACCTTTTCCAACAAAGACGCCCATTTTTTTCTACAGTCTTCACCGCTTCGTCTGTACCCCTCCTCCCCCAAGCATTTTGAGATCCATTCAAGACGT